ATGTAAGAAATGAAAGTTTCCTTATTTTTATAGGGTGAACTTTATGCTAGTAATAGGAAAACTTAGGAACGGACAGGCTAGATTAGACCTCCAGCTGTGGGCTTACGCACAACACATGCTACCCATCTACCTGCAAAAATAATGTAGTGACCAGTTAGCCACCCCACATTTAAAAAGGGGTATTTTCAGTTCAGCTGTGAGTTCCGGCAGAGTTCCAGTAGCTGAGGCAGCTGCGGACACAAACGCAGCTCGCTCCAACGTGGAAAGCACAACGGGACGTTACCTTAGCAGGTCCTGCCCTCCCTGAAGCAAGAACCCGCAGGAGACTCCAGAGTCACGGTGCCGCAGAAGAGCTGCAAGGTGACACAGAAAGATCTGTGAGGCAGGGGCCAAGCGGATCCCAAAGCCTTCCTGGAAGCCTCGAACAGAACTTCCAGTTGATTTATTTATTTAATTGGACATATCCTGTCAGCCTGCCGACGGCCTTAGGTTCTCCACCGCCTGACCATGATTCCGTGGGACTTCTTGATTTGCACAGCCTGTGCAACATGTTCGTGGTTAATGTGGCCCAGAGGGGCCACCAGAATTCAGCGTCCATGAGAAAACAACCCTTAAAAATGCTGAGGTGCAACGGGAAATGCACGCAGGCGGCCACTTCAAAAACAGTTAGGCGAGTATTGCAGCAAGTGCTGAGAGAAAAGCAGCACATTCCCACTCGGGCAGGCTTCTACCTGGATCTCTCGGGAACTAGGACTCTAGCACTACACAAACATCTGGAAGATCTCCTCAAAGACCCTTAATGACATGACCAAAAGACAACAAAAAACTAATTAACGACAAGGCTAAATGGGTTTAGGTTTGTGGGATACTGGGCCATCTTTATGGAGGTATAATTTGCTGCAGTCACAGGAGAGGAAAAAAAAAAATCCTTCATAGAATTTTAGAAAAATAGAAATAGAAAAATAACAAGATTAAACAAAAGGGCATTCAATAGCTAAACAACCAGACAATCATTCCTTTAGCACAAAATAAGGATACTCAGGCTAAAACTAGCAAAGGAAAAATAAAATAAAATAAAATAAAATAAAATAAAATAAAATAAAATAAAATAAAATAAAATAAAATAAAATAAATTAAAATCTGTTGATTCATGTTTTTGATTTGGAAAAAAAATAAATTAATTGGCATTACTATAACCTAGCCTAGTGGAAAATACATGAATTACAAGATATCATTAATACTTACAGATTATTTCTGAAGGACCACCTGATCAAGGTGGAAGGACAAAAAACAGTAGGAATATATTAAAAGCAAAGTAGAAAAGGAGTCAGAAATGGTCATGAACACACACAGATCAATGTTCTGCATTAGAAGTCATTAACTTAAACAGAAACAGGATGCCTTGTTTCTTAATCCCCATGTGATATGAGGAAAAAAATCCTGGAAGCTTCATCTAAAAAGCACATGCCAGGAGTGCATTACATGTCCGAAGTCACAATCTCAAAACTGAAGTAGAACGAATTGGGAATAAAAACCTGCACTGAAAATAACGCGCAACCCAAGGCAAACAGGTAGAGCACAAACCATGAATGGGAGGCTCCGAACTGCAGAAAATTCACAAGGAAACCAAGAAACTCTATTGGCCACAGGTATTTACCCATGTGAGGAAAAGGGAGGAGTCATCTTGTAGGTATTCCACAGAAAGCATAAAGTTTAGATAAGTATTTCTGCTCTAGAAGAGATACAGTCATACCAGAAAACTCTAACAATAACAAAGTAAACCCTCAGCCACAGGAACTGAAGACTTTTATGTATTTAAAAAAAAAAAAATCAGCAGCTCCAGGCTACTTGCTTCCAAATCTTTAAGAGTTGGCAAAGGAGACTGTTAATATGGAAGTTTTGAAAAATCAAGAAAATCAGAAGAAGCTCAGGAAAAAAAAAAAAGAGTTTCAAAGAAAGCCAAAGTGGTGCCAGTATTCCTAATAAAATAAAATGGCAAGAGTTTTGGGAACTCACTGCCAATCCTGTAGTAATCCAAGGAAAACGTGTGACTGATGCCTTGATTCACGACCAGAAATAAGTGAGGAAACTATTGCTTAAATTACTCAAGTGTTAAAAAGAAAGAGAGAAAGACAAAGACCATTTTTCAGGTAATTAGAGCACAAGTTTGGAAGACCACATGAACAATGTGGATGTAGCAAACATTTTGTCAGCTGACTTGTTCTGTATGGAATCATGCAGTTCTCCAGTGTGGTGCACATAGGTCATGTTAAAGGAGTTAACATTAAGGTGACAGGTGTGTAACATTAGAAATAAATCAGATGCGTTTATAATTGAATCCTTCTGGGATCAGTTCTCAGCAAAATATTTAATGCTCTCATCAGTTTATCAAGAAGTAAGGTTTACTGAAAGAGTTCATAAAAAGCTCTAAGTAAATAACACAGAAAGATTGCCAGTTCAGAACCACGTAGATCACTGGAAAAATAAGCATTTCCCTGTGATCATATCACATATCTAAGAGTGATGAACAGAAACACTTATAGGATGAAAAACTTCCTCAGGAAGTAGTTGAAATAGCTGATAACAGAGTAAATGTTGGCTCCTTATACATAATTGAGTTCAAATGTGTTAATGGAGTTGTTAATCAGCTCAGGAAATAAACAATCAGAAAAAGATGGTGGTTTCAGTGCAGAAAGAGGCCAGGGAAATAGGACAGTCACCAAAACAGCTTCTTCAGCCCGTTCTCCTCTGGCAAAAGCAACCGCAACTTCCAGCCAGGCACAGTGGGATGACTACTTCTGAGTTCGTGCTTATTGCGGCTACTTTATTTATCACAGTAAAGCATCTCATTAAAAAGAAAAAAGTCATTAATACATTGGAGATGTCAAAGAGCAGATACAAATGCTGTTTTAACACCAAGAGCTGCAATGTAATGCTTAGCACATCAAGAAAATACCTTAAGGGCACAAGGTGTAAAGATCATAGAAAGACCTATAAAGTATTTGGTGATGGAAACAGAAATTTATGCGGTGGCAAAGGCAAATCTCATGCTGTTACCGCTGAATTACCATTTTCTGAAAACCCGTGGCAGCCACTAAGCTTCCGAAGGCAGCTGCACTTTTGCCATCACCGTGTGTCTGTGACACACGAGACAGACCCACAAGCCGCCAAGCTAAAACGTTATTCCAAAAGCCAGAGCACAGCTGAACTAGGAGCTGGTCACAGTGACCTTACTAGAGGCCAAAATCACAGCATGGAGCTTTTCCTTCCCCCAGTTTGATAAAACTGGGAGGTAGCGACGCAACTAAAAGCGAGGATATTCACAGGAAGACGCTCCCGTGAGCGGCTGCTCGCAGCGCCGGGCCGCACCG